TGCAGAACAAAGCTGGCGCTACGAGATTCCTTAAGAATCTGCTCAGACGCAAACCAATTCCACACCTGTGTGCCTGCGGCATCTCTAGGACCAGAGAGTCGGTACCACTGGTCTTCCCTACCGGTCCAGGTACCCAGAGGCTGATCAACATCCTCCCTTGACCTCCGGATCTGAACAGAGGGTCGTCTAAATGGTGAGGTAGAACACAAGATTGCGTCTGAATGCTGTTTGATAACAACAACTTAGTTAGTTGCAACCAAATTCCTTTTCGCCCAGAACGCGCTCCTCTCTCCAAGATATACGTTCTGAGACATCACGCATTCACCAGCAAGCAAAACACACTTCATCTTAGATCCATCCAAACAAAGGGTTGTTTTAATACCGAAGCGTTTATAAATTGTCTTTTATAAATTTTCTTTTAACTTGTCACGTTTTAAATTGTTAGTAATAAATTTCTTAACTTTTTAAACTTGACTCTTCATTGAAATAAACACAGAGAAGGTGTATATTGATCACTGAATGAACAAAGATCTTTAAATGTTCTGAATTAACAAATAACTTTGCTATTAAATTAAATCTTTAAAATTAAATATTAATCTTTTGATTAAACATAGACCAAGCAATTTGGTGTATGAATTTACAACTATTGTATACATATATTCGTATATGTATACATGCATGTACATTTCATTCATTCATTTGTTAGATCTTTCTTAGGAATTAAAATATAAGCTGAATAGCAACAGCCTTTAATTCCTAAATACGTAGTTTGTCAAGGCTACATCTTTATGCTGCATGCATAAGAAGCAGCATTAGCATTGATCACCATTTTAATCTAGCAAGTAATTGACTCTGGCATTTCCTCTCTCCACCCATGAGACATGCTTTGGGTATGTTAATGAGCCCCTTCAGCAGAGGCTGCAAAATGCAACAATTGCTGTATTTCTGGACTTTGAACATATCTGCAGTCTTCTACCATCAGGATGATGGACAACTGTCACGGGCATAAAAGCAAATACTTCGTTTTTACCACTGCCATAGATTGAGACAGTGCATTAAAAATGTATTTCAGTGCAGAATCTTAGACGTGTCACTTTTATCTGTGTCACTTTTATCTTGTTGCCTAAATGCACCTATGTCTTCAGTGTTTTACAGCAATTCAGCGTCACTTTACTTACAGCTCTGGGCAATTGTAGCTCTACATTCAATTCCATATTACTGTAAACACATCTCCTTTGTTCTTTTGTCAGCCTGCGACGTCTTCCTTTTTGTATGTGTTTTTGTTCCTAAGGTGCAGCTGAAATCCTAGAGGAAATCATGGAGGACATTTCCTGCTAAGATATACAATGAATAAATAAACAAATAAATAAATAAATATTGTAATTAAATGAAAATAAATGTTGCAATAATAAAAGTATAAAAATTAAATAAATATGTAAACAAACAAACGAATGAATAAATACAAATGAATAAATACATTTGGAATAAAGATTCATATCAATATTGCAATTAAATGAAATAAAACAAATACATAGATAAAGAAATACATTTTTAAATAAAAATGATTGTTAAAATTAAATAAAAAATGTATAATACAATAAATTAAATAAAATACAACATTTCTTTATTTGTTTTCAGATTCATTTAGCCTATTTATTTTCAATTTTTTGTTCTTGAATATTTAATATTTTCCCTAATGTATTCATTTTTTTTGTTTCAATAACATTTCTACATTTATGTATGTATTTGCAGTTTTTACTTCCATATTTACTTATTTGATATTTTTCTATTTTGAGGACTTTTTATTTGTTTGTTCAAAATGTGAAAGAAAATGTTACAAAGGAAAAATGGGACAATTATTTAATTTTTATTATGTTTGATTTTAAAACAAAAAACAAATGAAAACCTTTTTGTTTTTTTATTAGTGCTTTCTGAAGAGAAAATCCAATGACATGTGTATTTTTGCCTTAAAGGAAATCTTGGATCTGCACAGCAGGCACAACACAACCATATTTACATGTTTCATTGATGCTTCTAAAGCATTTGATTGTGTTAATCACGAAAAGTTGTTTTTAAAACTGTTCGACAGAAATGTACCTAAATATCTGGTGAGGATTTTAGTATCTTGGTACGGCCACCAGTCCATGGCTGTCAAATGGGGGAATTCAGTGTCCCTTCCTTTTACTGTTTGTAATGGTGTACGACAAGGCAGTCTTCTGTCTCCTTGTCTTTTTAATGTGTACATGGATGACCTGTCCAGGCTGCTGAGTGAATGCAGGACTGGCTGCCAGGTTGGGAATGTTGTTTTGAATCATTTGATGTGTACAGATGATCTGGTAATCTTTTGTCCATGTAGAGCTGGTTTGCAACTATTGTTAAGGATTTGCTCACAATATGGTCATGACTTTGACATAAAATTCAGTTCAATGAAAAGTACCATCATGATTATGAGGACTAAAGAGGATGGTAAACTAATTTTCCTAGAGTTCCACTTAACTGACAATATTATTCAGGTCCGGGATGAAGTTAAATATTTGGGGCACTACATCTCTGCTGACCTGTCGGATGATAGAGACATTTATAGACGGTGCTGTTTGCAGTATGCACAAGCTAATATGCTCATTCGGAAATTTTCTAGGTGTCCCATTTCTGTCAAGCTGACACTTTTCAAAGCATTTTGTGCACCTATGTACACTGCACATCTGTGGAGGAATTACAGGAGAAGTCTGTACAAACTTCAGGTGGTGTACAATGATGGGTTGAGGCTGCTGCTGAAGTTACCTCGCTGGAGCAGTGCCAGCCAGTTATTCATGTACGCTGGTATAGAGCTCCGGACCCCACGTGACTCTCAGTTAGTGGACGCCATTTTGGCATGCAAAAAAGGTAAACAAACACGGATGTAACCATGAACATGAACGGGATCCGCTTGGATTTTACTTCGTCGGAGTTTACTTCACACTTTAAAACAGAAGAAATCGTTTTATATAGTCAGAAATTAAATAGACTAAACATCTCCGACCCTTACCGTGCCCCTGGGATACTTTTTAAAAAAGCCAGAAGCTGTCGGAGCGGACTTCTTACCGGCACAACACCGGACCTGGCCGGGGGAACCCATTGGGATTCCCCCGGCCGGAGGAGCTGAGGAGAAGGTCTGGGACTCTCGACTCTACTGCCCACTCCGGAGCGGACTTCTTACCGGCACAACACCGGACCTGACCGGGGAACCCCTTGGGATTTACCCGGAGGAGCTGGCTCCGGCGGCTGGGGAGAGGGAAGTCACGCTACTGCCCCCACAACCCGACTCCGGATACGCGGATGAAAATGGATGGATGGACGGACAAATAACAGATTTACACGTAAGTAGTCTCGGTGAGACAGATAATAGCAATCCAAAGTGCTTTTATGTGTGATCTGACAATTGATCAACCATTGCTTAAAAATTAAATACAACTTAGCCGGTTAATTGCTGTCAACATAAAACACGTAAACGGCAGCACGCAGAACTCACGAGGCAACGTTTTACGTGATGTTTATTGTTGCTATGAGTAATAAGACAGAAAAAGCCACCCCAAAATAAGTTTAGGAAGCCCACTAAGAATCATAATAAAAGCATTTAAAATAAATACCATACACAGTTGAGGAAACGTTTGTTTAAGTACCTGATATGAAGTGGTCGCTGCATAAGCGAAAACCTTTACTCTCGGGATCCCACAGCTTCATTTTAGCCCGGTCACTAGCGCGTTTTATTACAATGATCCAACGTTTGCGGTGCTCCGGATCTTAAGGAATCCTGTAGATGGCTCATTCCTTATGTCGTCCGCGTCTGTTCTGCATCCTGGGGTACAACAGGAATCTACCATATTTCCCGTTTGATTGAGTTTTCTGACAATAACAAATAGTCCAGCTGCCGGCTTCTGCATGCCAATATGGCGCCGTTTCGATTTGAACTGTTGCATGCCGGGAGAAGTGACGTCAACTCCTGGAGCTCTATTCCCACTTGTACTGCTACCCTTCGCAATCTAATGTACAGATGTATGTGTAGGCTGATGGTCTCTGGAAACGGTATTATCTCTATCTTGTCCACAACGACACGAAGCATGACTCGTTTCTATTCTAACCTTTGGAATCACTGGCGTTGTTGCCTGTATGTTTGACTGATCTTGTCGGTTTATATTGCTATTGGTTGTTATTTTATTGTATTAACTTGCTTTATTGTTCTTAATGTGTTTTTATTTTCTTGCTATTTTCTAAACTGTTTTTAATCCTCTAATCTTTATTCTTTATGAATTTATCTATTTTTACTGTTCACTGTGTTATCCTTCCCATTATGGACCTTAAAGGCCCGGAATAAATATCACTTTTTCACTTTTGAATAAAAAAACAGAGGGGAGAAGAACCATTTATTTAAAATGAAAACAAGCAAAAACAACAAAAAAAAAAAACAAAAAAAAAAACGATGCAAAACAATGGATTTCATCGTGGCATGTCACTGTGGCTGTGTCTCAATTCAGGGTCTGCATCCTTCGAAGGACCCAGCCCACGAGTAGACCGGATGTTAACGGCTGTGAATTTCTTTTTTATTTTTATTTTTTAATTTTCAAAACTTTATTGAACAAGGTGAACGGCTGTGAATTTCAAGAGCATCTGGCTGCAGCCGCTCCGTCGCCTAGCAACCGTGGAACCGCTGAGCAGAAGGGAGAAGGAACTTCAAATGATGGAGCTGGAAAATTTGTTGAGCTTTTAAATAATATCCTTGGTTCTGGAGGAGTTAGAAGAGTTAGAATAGAGAATAGTTCTAGTTTTAAGAAACAATATTGTGTTTGCGTGTCACCTTTATTCTTTACGGTAATTGTTAGTATTTTGAATGAATGCCTGTCAGTTATAGAGCGAAATAAACTTACTTCTGACTTTAGAAAATCATAGATTCTTGATAAAAACTTTCTGAAAATATAACAGAAAATTACTTGAAATTATCTGCACGTAAACGCAATAAAATATTGTAATTATACATTGATGACGTAGTTTTGGGGTCCTTCGGACTTCCGGGTTTAGGTAAACAGATTGTCAACGAAGTCGCCAGGCTTAAAAGATGTAAGTTTTGCCTTGTTTTAATGCGAAACGTTCAATTAACGTAGTTTTTATTCGATCGTATCCGTATGTTGATAAATCACCCTTCATTCTTTTCGTCATTAGGTCTAAAGTAACGTTTAAAATCACCCTGACGTCGGATCCCCGGCTGCCGTACAAAGTGTAAGGACAGCTCAGCATTCCCGTTCTATGATAAATGTGTCAAAAACGTTGACCTAATTCTAACAAACATTCAATAAAGTTTTGAAAAAAAAATTCTAACAAACATGCATTAAGGTATATGTTGATGTGTCCTATAAAAATATGTGCTAGTCATTTACTGCTGTGTTAGCAAAAGTGATGCTGTGATAATTAAAAAAAATACAGAAGAAAAGCTTCGATTCTTCACCAGTAACTCCGTAAAGACTGGCAGTTTACTATCAGAAATCTTTCTGTGAAAACACGGTACCTTGTAGTAAATGACAGATGGACTCCTACAATTTAGACAAAACAAGCAGATTTTAGGGAGTTTTTTGGTTTTTGTTTCTAACTACTCATCTCAAGGACACGCCGGTCAAAACAGAAAGAAAATAGTTGTGACGGAACATCCTGTTGGCTCCTTCAGTTTTGTTTTAAATCATCAGTAAGCTGGAAAGTTCACCTGTGAGAAAATGCCAGTCTAAACTACATTTCTGCTAGTTTTTTTTTCTTCTCATCCTGTATGTGCTGCTCCCTCGTCACAGCTTTTTTTTTCTGCATTGCATCACTTGGTCATCACATTTGCAGCATTTATATTTTTTAAATGAACGTTTTTTGTTTTTGCCCTAGTGTGGATCTGTTGGGTATAATCATAGAAGCTTCAAATTGAAAGTATATGTATGTAACTCTTCCACAAATGTTTATTTATTTTTTTGTCTTTTAGTCTTTGTTTTCTTTTACTTCCTTTCATTAGCTTGGATGAAACCCACATCTGGGGGTGTTTAGATGTGCATGACTAGCAAGCAGGCTTGATTTTCAAACAAAAAGTCGCAGGAATTAGTCTTAGACAATCTTAGATTTGATGTATTTATTTATTTTTTGTTGCAGGTTAAGTGTCCCAGAAAGCACACCATTCACAGCAGTTTTGAAGTTTGCAGCTGAAGAGGTAGGCCGACAGAGACAGGATGCTAGTCCATCACGTGGGTGAAGGAGACAGACAACCAGTCACACACTCACTCACTCCTATTACAGTTAACCATTTAACCTAACATGCACATGTGTGATCTGTTGGAGGAAACTGAAGCACAGAAGAAAACCCACCCATGCATGGGGAGAACATGCTAACTCTGCATGCCCAGGTGTTAACCCTGCAGCCTTTTTGTTGTGCTACAGTGCTGCAAACTGAGCTGCCATGCTAATTAGCCTCTTGCTAATTAGTAAGTAACAACCGTGGTCCAGCCACAAATGTTTATCCTAAATGATGTCAAGATGCTTCTTTTGTTGCATAGAGTTTTAGTTCTCTAAATAAACCATAAGGTGCATGGACTTGTTTTAAAGCCACTTGGATCAATTTCTTACACAGTTGTTGGCAATTATGGAGACGGGATATCTTGCACAGAAAATACAATTTATGTGTGTTTGTATTTTTTATTGTTTCAAATCAGTTTCAGCCACAAAGCGAGTTATCAATTACATAATAGAATTACATTTATCATTTATGCCCCACAATCAGAAGAAAATAGAGTTTGGTTAATCCCTGTAACAGAAGATCTAATCAGAATCTTATCTTTGTCAGCAATGGCATTTTAGTAATTGAAGCTTAATGTTTGACTTCCTGTATAAATTATAGGTTATTTTAAACAGGATGTTCCTAAATCTTTCATTTTTACACATCAGTTAGTCAAAATCTCAAGTTGAAAAATGAAAAATGTGGTGAGTTTCTAACCCTAAAAAGCCTGTAACTTTGTGTTGTTGTTGTTGTTGTTGTTTGTGTAGATTCATCACTGTTTTAATGACCAATTATGTAAAAAGCAGCTCTGACTGACTAACTGACGTTTGTAAACCCAACCTGGTAATTTAGCAGACACAGTAGTTTGGATTGTAGCTGGATTTTTAGCCACATCTGCTGACTTCCATCTCATTTATTTAACGAAACGCTACCTCTTAACTTATTTGTCACTGAAAAGGATTTTTAACTTCTCCTTATTTGATTTTGTGTGAGTAAACACGCAGCAGCTCGGCGTATGAAAGGCGTCTAATGGGAGCTGAAGCTGCTGACGTGCTGTTTGTACTCAGAGCTGGTGGGGTGTTAATTTGAGTCTGTTAGAAAGCAGCGCAGTGACGGAACATCATTTCACTGTGGATGTCGCTTGCTTTCAGCACAACAGACTTAGCCCCACTGAGCAAAACGGGAATAAGATTGGAGAACTGTTCAAAAGTAAACGGTTTGCAGCGAGTTGCTGTGGGAGAACTGCTGTTTAGTCCAAGCTGCTCATAGATTTTAGAGTAAATAAGTGATTCTGTTTAATCTATTATTAGATGTCGGGTCTTTTGAGTTGTGTTGCTTTTTCTCCCTGAAAAACACTTTTTAGATACGTTCTTTAAATTACCGTAAAGGTTTGTGCCATCAGAGAATTTTACGCAGATTTTAATAGTAGCAAATTTGCACTTTCAAGTGTTACACTCAGTATATTTACTGTAAATCCGTTTCCACTGGCTTAATCGGTCTCTTTGTCTCACTCATGAACAGGAAGGGACAGAAAATGAGCAACAGAAACAATCACAGCTAATAAAATCTGTAGTAGTAGTAGCACCACAAACAGAAAATGAATCCCGCCGCGCCGTCATCTCCAGCATTAGCTTCCCATCGAGGCTTGCTGCTACTGCCCTGGTACTTTTAAGACCTCGGTAAAACTCTGGATGTGTGAAATAATTTCCACAACAGATCCCAGGTCCGTCAGCAGCTCTGCCAAGAAAACGCAGCTTTGATGATCACATGATTGTGTTGTTTGAAATTACTATTTCGACTGGAAAACGATAGATTTTTCCGTCCTGCTGACAGATCTGTACCTACTGTCCCCCTCAGGCTCCCTCTTAAGTCTTCGTGACGGAAAATCTTGAGAAAAGTGATTTTTTCCAAAATTTTGACTGGAAAACAAAAGCTGGAAATGCACCTCACGGAATTTTCTTTAATTTTTTGCCTGTTTTACCATCTTTGGTTTTGAAGTCAGTGTAACCGTGGCAACAACAAAGGCCGATATTTTGGTTCTCGGAGGGTTTTTTTCTTCACCCTGTGACTTCCAGCTAAATGAAAGTGGGTAGAAACATGCCCCAGTCTAACAAGACAATCTATTCCTCAGCTACTAACATTTTTAAAATGAAATCTTGTGTCCCAAGTGTGTTATTGGGGATTTTGAGTGATTTGAGTTATTTTTACTGTCTTTTGCAGTTTAAAGTGCCATCAGCTACCAGTGCAATTATAACAAATGGTGAGTTTGGAAGCGACATTTTTCCTCTTCATATTTAAGTTTTCTTAAATTGAAACATTAAAAAACACTGAGGCAGCAAATTTTGTAATGGTTAAAATTGTGGCAACACCAGTACTGTGTTTGTACTTTTTATATTGGAGCCTCTTTTTATAAGATGCGTTACTAACATGGATTAAAACTGAATAACTGGATAAAAACAACATTTGTGATCATATTGTTTTGGGGGGTCTGATTTTGTGCGTTCTATCTTTTACTGACCAAGACAGAAAACAAAAGCTACTGGAAAACGCCTCAATTTTTATTCAACTAAACAATATGCACACAGTTATCCAGTTTATATGATGAATAGTTGTATTTGAGAAGTATCTTGGCTGTACTGCCCAAATCTCGTAAACGAAATGAATCTTTTACCAAAGTACTGGTTGGTTATTTTAGTCAAGTTCAGCTTCCACATTGGATTTCAATTAATTGGTTTTATAAAATATAATTCCTATTGTCTAGAACACATTGTGGGATTATGCAGGAAGAAAAGAACAACTTATAAGATCTTAATTTAAGGAGGGCAGTTCTCTGCTGCTGACTTTAGCGTAGAAAGTGTTTTTGTTTACTTCGGGTTTGTTTGTTTTTCAGATGGAATAGGAATCAACCCTGCTCAGACTGCAGGTGAGTTATAATGTACCACCCTCTCAGTCTGCGAGGGCAACGCCCCCTTTTTGGTGCATGTTTTTAAACAGGAAATGGGTGGAGTATGACTCTGGTAGGGGAGTGACTTACTCTTTAATGTCAGCCTAAACTTAGAGCTAGCTGTGGAAGAGGAGGGAGAGGAGCGAAAGAGGATTATTATGTGTATGGAGCTAAGTGATTAGCAAAAGGTTCAACCGTACGCTACGTGGAACTATTGTGTTGTTAGCATTAGCAGGGGTGTGCTAGCATTTCTAGTGCCAGATTCCTGTTGGTTGTAGATGTTTCCCCTCCACCTTTTCCCACATAGCACAGTGGCCTAGTGTTGGTGTCCACCCTAGGACTGGGAGATCAGAGTCCAAATCCCAGTCAGGTCACACCAAATATAAAACGGGACCCAATGCCTCCTTGCATGACACTCAGCTTTAAGAAGTTGGATTGGGGGGGTTAAACCATTAAATAATTCCCGAGCGTGGCCGTGTCTGCAGCACACTGCTTTTCTCGGGGATGGGTCAAATGCGGACAATTTTCACCACACCAGTGTGTGTGGCAACTATGGGACTTAAATCTTTTTTCCTCTGGACACTGCAGATTTGATTAAAACGAGTGATTAGCAGCTCCTGCAGAACCCAATGAAGGCTGAGAGGATAATCCAGAATCAAGCAGCGTCTGAGCAGGAACATAACTAAAACATGCAGCTGAAGCAGCTCTTCGTTTGCACCACAATGATATTTGTGTGTGCGTGTCCAGAAGAGGAAGGGGGCAACCCTCTCCCCTCCTCTCCTGGATGGCTTCATGCTACGGACCGCGGCTTTAATGCTAATAAGGTTTCGATACCAAATGAATGTCCTGAAGCTTCCTTTGGGGAAGAAAAATAATTTCATTGTGTCCAAACAGCCTTTTAGCCAAAAGCTGTATAAGATGCAAAGTTTCATATTACCGAGTCAAAAAATATTTCTAAACGTAAAAGTCCAAACATCCGCTTCAGGGGTCTAAATTATTCCTTTTTAATAGTCAACAACGCAAACATTTTCTTCTTGAATTATGCTTTAATGAGTGAAAACAGAGGAAAAAGCCCAGAGACACAGAATCAAAATTTAAAAAGGCCGTCTGACTCGAGGAAGAGTAGAAGCAGCTTAGTTAGAATTCACCTCAGCCTCTCGTGTTGTCAGACTTCCTGTGAATAATTATTTCTTTGTGTCGGCCCTCTTCGGTGTTTCCATCAGGTTCATGTTGCTCCTGAAAGTCATCAATTTTACCAAAGAGCGGCTACAGGTGACCGACTGTTTTTGCATAGAGCACAGTAAGTGAGGCCTCCATCGGACTAAAGCTAAGTCGGTTCTCTTCTTCTAAATAAAAAGGCCTGTAGTGGTGCGTTCAACAGCTTTTATCTCCACTCTTATTGTGTGCTGCCAGGAATAGTCTCAGCTCAGACACCTTTGTCAGACTGACTTTTTTTCCCTCCCTTTATAGCCACTCCACTTCTTGTTCACATGACTGAGTACACAGCTGAAATCGATCAGGTGTGATTTTAGTCCGTTTCTCCTCACATACCGGCCTCGCGCGGCTCTGAGGCGTAATGAAGGGTCACACGGCGTTACGGTTTGGGCAGTGAGGTGTAAGATCTCAGCTGGTTGAACAAGCAAATGAATGAACGTAATCACTACTTGTGGTCTGAATCAGACTTAGGAGGATGCTGTTGCACGGTAAAGCTTGTTATTGCACACAGGTTATGTGAAACTGATCTTTTACACAATGCTCTGTCCTGTGTTGCAGGGAATGTGTTTCTGAAGCACGGCTCAGAGCTTCGCCTCATTCCCAGAGACAGAGTGGGAGGACACAGAGACTGACTTATGCAGCCTTTCCCCGTTGATGGCAGAATGACTCATCACATAACGCTTACTACCCAGGAAACACCTCAGCATGTGTCATGTTTGCTTTCTGGCCCACCACAACTGACAGTGACTCACGCAAAAACACGCATATTTCTACTTTACGCGGCCGTCGCTGCTCGCCTCTTCATCATCGAGCCGAGCTCAAAGGTTCTAAGTGACATCAAGAGTCAGAGATGTGCTGAGGATTAGATCTACACAAACACAGCAGCAGATTTATCTTGGATTTACAGTAACTTTTGTGCTTCCCACATTTCAATAAACTATTAGTGTAACAAAGAGAATATCCCTAGATTTATTTGCTTACCTTGGTTGTTTTTCTGCTTATTGAGGATTTACAAACATGGTAGAGGCACCTATTTTGTGTTAGTACAAGCATAAATAACCTTGTTGCTTTGATTTCTGATGCAGGTTTAAACTTAAAAACATATTTTTCATTATGGATGCATTTTAAATGTGTATTTTGGACCAACTAAAGACCTAATCAAAACGCAAACCATTAAATCACACTCTGCACCCACATGGCTCAATGCTGCCCTCTGTCTGCTGGTATTTTAACACCATTCTGTACTCAAGCCAATGTTTTTTTTTTAAGTTATTCATTGTGCATATTCTCATAATAAACGGAGCAGATTCTGAGCATGAGAATGTTTTGATATGAAGATTATGATGTAATCAGGTATAAAATGTGATTAGCATCCAGAATGTCACATTAGCTTGTTAAAGAAACACTAAGAGTTTTAACACTTAAGCTGTTGCTTTCAAACTGGTTTCAGTGGTTCTTTAGCCCTAAACTTAAGCAGGTTCACATTGGATAGCACTCTGTTGCCCTCTGCTGACCAGAAACTGAACTAAAGAACGTTGGTGGGCCAGGTAGGAACACTAGTGGGAGGTCTTCAGAGCTTATTGTGCTGTAGCTAATATTAAGGCTAGCAGTTAGCTTTTTCAGTTTGTCGACATCAACAAAAAGCACAAGAAGAAGAATTTAGCTATTTTGTGCGCATCATATTGAAGCCTCGAAGTAAAAAGAAAAGTAACATCTTTGGAGGCGGAGCAAAGAACTAAAACCAGAGTGAACATTGGCGTGGCTTACACTCGGGTTCAGTTTCAAACCATCGAAAAAGTCTTCTTTGTTTTTGATTTCCCAATAAGCATACACTCATAAAAATATGCAAAATACGACACCTAGTGTGGCGACTTCGTTATCTGCAAAGCCTGCAGCAGGGTTGTTAACAACAGTTGTAATTCTGCTTTCAACCAGTAGGGGGAGAAGTGAGAAACTTATTGTTACTTTCATTTGAAAAATGTTAGCCATCATTTGCCTTGTCTCTTTTCGTGGACAGTTTCAAAATCTGTAGACATTTATTTATATATATAATTCCAAGCAAATAGAGTTTTAGATCTAAACGTTTTGCTCCTGAAATAAAGAAATAATTGATCATCCCCTCCATTTCATAATTTCTATTTGAGAGCTGCAATTTTTTTCATGCACCATTTTAATCAGATGAAACGGTCCATCAGATGTCCGTTTCAAAGAAAAAAATGATGTCTTCAAACTGTGCCGAAATGAAGAAATATGGAGACAAAAAGAAAATATGAAGCTCACAGTTGCTTCTTGCTGCCCATCAGGCTGCAGACTCAGATGGAGGGGAGGAGCAGGAGGCCCGTTCCAATTTCTTCAGAAATTTACTTCTAAAATGGCAGAATGCCACCAAGTGCCCTGGATGCAGCAGATGCTATCCATCACTGCACTGGGGGGTGCAAAATAGTCCTAAGTGCTGCAGATATTTGCTGAATGAACTGTTTTACTTACATGAGCACATAAACAATAAAACTGTCAAAATGCACCAATATAATCTAATTCAGTAGTTTGTGTCTCGCCAGCATGAATTTCTCATTAATATTAGACTTTTTTTTTATAAGCAGATGCTTTGATTGTGTATCAAATATATTACATCTTTGATCAAAAACAAAATCACCACAGATTGTTTAAAGATAATCAAAATCTGACTCTCTCGGTCCAATTCCCCTTGGTCTGGGAGAACTTACCACAAAGCAGCAGCTGGCTTTTAGAGCGAGAGGGTTCTGGGGTGTGGACAGTTACGTGACACCATTTGACCCTCTCCTTCGTGTTGTGTTTAATGAGGTAAGCTAAATGTTTTCAGAGGTTTAAAAGTTAGAAAATAAAAGTCAAAGATGTAACAAGCTCACGTAACTGAACACGTTGCAGTCTTGAGTGGTCAAAGTTACATAATAACAATACTACTACAACTGCTACTACTAGCAGTATTAATAATAGCAATAATAACAAGCAATAATACTACTCCAATAAAAACCGCAACTACTGATACTACAGTTAAAACAGCTACTAATAATCATTAACAGCAACAATAATAACAATACCACAACTACTACTAGCAAAATTAATAATAGCAATAATAACAAGCAATAATACTACTACTATAAAAAACACAACTACTAATACTACAATTAAAACAGCTACTAATGATCGTCTACAGCAACAATGATAACAATACTACCACCACTACTACTAGTACTACCACTACTACTACTACTACTACTACTACTACTACTACTACTACTACTACTAGCAATATTAATAATGGCAATAATAACAAGAAATAATACTACTACTATAAAAACCGCAACTACTAATACTACATTTAAAACAGCTACTAATGATCGTTAACAGCAACAATAATAACAATACTACTACTAGTAGTACTACTAGCAATATTAATAATAGCAATAATAACAAGAAATAATACTACTACTATAAAAACTGCAACTACTAATACTACAATTAAAACTGCTACTAATAATCATTAACAACAACAATACTACTACTACTACTACTACTACTACTACTACTACTACTACTACTAGCAATATTAATAATAGCAATAATAACAAGAAACAATACTACTACTATAAAACTGCAACTACTAATACTACAATTAAAACTGCTACTAATAATCATTAACAACAACAATACTACTACTACTAGTACTTCTACTACTACTACTACTACTAGCAATATTAATAATAGCAATAATAACAAGCAATAATACTACTATAAATACTACAACTACTAATACTACAATTAAAACTGCTACTAATAATCGTCAACAGCAACAAGAATAACAATACTACTAGTAGTATTATTACTACTACTACTACTAGTACTACTACTACTAACAATATTAATAATACCAATAATAACAATAAATATTACTACTACTATAAAAACCGCAACTACTAATACTACAATTAAAACAGCTACTAATAATCATTAACAGCAACAATAATACCAACACTACCACTTCTGCTATGACGATTACAAAACAACAAGTACTAATATTACTACCTCTACTAATAACAACTACTATAACTACTACTATGATTACTACACAACAACTACTACTGCTACTGATAATAAACTAGAACATTCTTGAAAATAATGAACAGGGACCTGCTCGCTGGCACAAGATATCAGCCATGGCCCAAAATCATTATACTGGGGTGATCACCCAAATTCATGATACATCCCACTTCTCGCATCAAAACCGGCCATGTTGGTAAATCATTTGTGGGGGGTGCGTGCTGCTTTTCAAGCCAAATAAATAAATAAATAAATGTTAGTGCAACGTTGAGGGATCACTCAAATACCCATTCCGTTTGAAACGATAAAGAAAAACAAATAGATAAATAACTACTATGATGACTACAAAAGCTACCACCACAACAACTACTACTAGTAGTGGTGGTAATAGTAGTAATATTTATATAATATTTAAACTAATAATAGTAATACTATTACCATGGTGAATCATAAAATTGTCTAATAAATTATGACAAACAAATACATTTATTTGTCATAATTTATTATGAATTATATGATATTCATTTGTGCCCTCTCCTCTTTATAAATGTCACATTGAGCGTGCTCTCTGACCTCCTTCATTAAAACCAGCCCATGATCCTTCCCCTTTCGAAGATGAACTAGTGCAGCCACAGCTCAGTGAGCCAGATGCACAGATATCACGCTGAGGTGGAAACAACTCTCCACTCACAACTTCTACTGCTGATATGAGGCCAAACTTAAAAGTATTATTGATGTTAGCTCAATCCAATGAGTGGCAAGCATGTGGATAGGAATGATCACGCATGAAAGTATAGCAATAAAACTCTACCAAGCCTCCACGTTCTATAATCTAAGTGATCTGATTCTGCCCTCTTCTGTTATAAAATTAGTATGGCATCAATCCACCAGAGCATGGATGGATCACTCTTCCCTTAAAAGCTGCAAGTCATATCCTAGTCAGATCTGTTCAAAAATCTGATTTTGTTCAACAAAATAAAAAAGATAATGTGGCTTAAAGCAACTCTGGATAACAGCATGGGCTCCAAATGGGCACTTAATGTATTTATCTTCCTAAGTATTACACATTTTACACAAATTACTTCTGCTATTAATCATTTCTTAATAAAATGTTGAGAACTAAAACACTTAGCATGTCTTATAGGTTTATTTCTGCAGTTTAAAGGATCTCTAGCCAATAAGAAACTGTTTTAAAAACATGTTTTCCTTCAGGTTGCATAGTCTCTTGTATCCAACTGCCTACAGCTAATCTTTTTTAATCCCTTCTGTCCTTGCGTCATTTTTGTTTTGCACCAACTTTCTTCAGCTTATGAGAGTATTAACAAATTGCAAGGGGAGTGCATTTTAAGGACACAACAGCTTCAGCCCCTTGGTGAAAACAGCCAACGCTATCTTATAACCAACGCAGCCAAGCAGTAGCTTGTTTGGGCTCACTTTTAACACGCAAAGAGGGTGTTTACTCAGTGTTGATAAAAATTTAGAAAGACTAAGTCAGGTTAAAATGATGGCAGTTGGTGTGTATGTATGTTTATCAAATGCTTCCATGCATTGTGTTTGCAATATTTCAAAAGCAGTTTCGATCATCTTACACTAAATTACCAACATAAAATCCTGAAACTATTGTATGTACAATTACAAGAGCTCCACTACTACATCAGGTTGTAGCTCAACGTTTGTACACGTGACTGAGTTTTGGCCTTTTTTATGTTTTCTAAGGTTTCCTAAAGCTAAAGAGACCTTTTAGAAATATTTAAACTTTAATCCGTTGAAGATGCATTTCCAGAGATAACTCTCTAAGATTTAAAGGGGACATGTTGGGCAAAACTGGCCTTTTGCATCCTTTTGTACTGCTGTGTTGGTGACTACCACCCCTATAAACACTCCCAACTTGAAGAAAACAAGTGCATCTGTTTTCTTTCGGTCTTTGGTTTTAGGAATTCTGTGCCTAAAACAAACCTTTTCAAAAAGTCCCCATTTGTAATATCACAAACGGGAGAATTTTGTGATCATTACAACCACCTGTCATGTGGAGAAGACCAGCTAATCTACTCCGGATATCAGAGCTTTTCAGCTTATAGCAGCCTGAGCGGGGGGTGGGGGGGGGGGGGGGGGGGAGGGGTGGCCAGCAGCAGCTTGTTCGTGACAGAGCTCTGAAACGGCTCATTCTGCAAAGTACTGAAACTGTCAAGACTGTAAATTAGATGGATTTTGTGCAAATAACTTTTTTTTTACCATG